AAAAAAAAAAATAATGTAGCGAAAGATCTCGTATCTTTCATTCGAACACAAAGATAAACTCACTCGTTTTATCCTTTATTTAAAGTCCCTTCGAAATTATATTTCGAAATGTAATTGCCATTCGTTCGTGTATCGACGTGCTCTCTAATTCTCCAGAAATTGGAATAATCGGAATGAATGCATCTAGAAGAAATGAAAATCGATCAAAAGGTTGAATCCGACAATATGCCAAATGACTTGAAAGTTCGGAACAGGCCGACATTGCCGGCCCCCGAGGGCTGATTGGGTCGTATTTGGCTGTAATTAAGGCACCGGCGGCGGCCATTAGCAACCGTGAAAACGAACAACATTGTTCCGCGGGCAAAATGTGAACGATGCCATTCAACGCGAACTGATACTATAACCAAACTTTAAAATGATGAACCGAAATCTTTACGTGGAACTAGAAGATGTAAATACGAAAAAAGCACTTATTTATTTGTATATTTTTAAAAAATTTAATCGCGACACATGCCTAACCTCCAATTCGCGATTATTGTTATGAGTACACTGGCCTTTGCCATGGTACAACTAACTCCATCTTAAAATTCCATAGAAGCAAGAACTATGGTAGACGTGAAAAGTAATCGTTAGTTCGTAAGAGATACACGTGAGGCCGTGGCTGACAGATCAGAACGAATACGACAACAATACTGTTCGACTCGCATAATTGGCGCCATGGGCACCCGGTGGGAGCATCTCACGGCACAGCGAGGTGAGACGCCGATACAGGATGAAGAGATTTACAATGTTCCCGGCCGTAAAATAATCAATAAAATCTGTACAATGTAAAGAAACAGACGTGCGGCAATGATTTAGTATGCGGAGCGCCGGCTCTGCTATTCTCTCCTTCCTTCGACTGTTTTTCTGTGCTAGACTTAAGGCCCGATTACGCGAACAAATTTTATCTATTTTATGAAATTACGTTAATTTATTTCAGAATTCGGAGAGAAATTCGGAGGTATTTTTATTGTTTCCAATATTTCGAAATTAAGCGTTTTTATCAAGTCACGAAACGGAATATTGGCGTGATAATTATCATTTGAGATCACGTTATTTTTTGAAAAATACGATTCAATTATTATAAATATAATTGTATTGTGTTGAAACCAAATATTTTAATATGAAAAAAATGTTAAAAATATAAACAAAAAAAGAGGACAGGAAAAATTATTAAAGAATTGCTCATTGCTCGCACGAATGACAACTATTTAAATACTCGCAATTGCCAATCGAATGACAACGCATAATATCGAAACAACAAAAAGTCGTCGAAAATTTTGTGGCATTCCTTGACACGCCTTTATCTTTATAAAACAAGCACCGCTGTAATGAAGACCGAGGATATAATTAGGGTCGAGTAATCAAGTCGTATGGGCGGATTCAATGTGGGTAGAGCTTTAGGTTTCTGGTGGGAAATACACCGAGTCGCCGCAGGGTTTTGCAGCAGGAGCCGACTATGGTGACGAATTTACGAGCTCCTTACAAGGCTGCCTTCTTCGAGCATAGCCAGCAATAAAGTACGAGGCCAGAGGATATTCGAAACAATCGTCCGAAAGGCCAGGACCTATCTCCACGCAAAATCCTCGGATCAAATTTAAAATTGATTTATGAACGATCATTTATCGATCTTTGTCTTCCCAATCTATTCTAATCGCATTTATTTCACTTCCTGACTGCATCTAGCTCGCGAAATATTATATTTTACGCGCGCAAATTAATTGTCATCAACGAGTTCAACAAAGTTTCAGATATAAGTATCGCAAAATAGAGGATGGATAAAACTTGGAACAATTTTGGAAAAAATGGAAAGGTAATGAATAATATTTTCACTTACAAGAAAGGAATGCAGGAATAAAAGTAGACAGAGGTTGTTTTCCAGAAGATTGAAAGAATAAATGTTTTATCTCTTCGACTAGAAACTGTCTTCTCACAAAGCTTCTCACAAATTTAACCAACATGGCGTCGTCACTCTCAATTTGAATATGGTGGCGCTACCTATCGGAGCGTCTACCATTTAATAAAATAGGCTTATTTCCATGGAAATATTTCGCGCGCTCGTTTTATGAAAATAAATTTTATCTGATCGTATTCATGTTGAATGTCGGATTCTTGAATGTAGATGTAGCTTCCTTATAAAGCGGATTATCCCTCTAAATTAACAAATGTTGCTTAATTAAAATAATATTTATATTTATAGATTTAAAATAAAAGAAAAAAATTAATATCGTTTACCCTATTCCATTTATTAGCCAAAATTCGTTCACGCTCGAATTTTTTAAATTCGCGATTATCGCGAATCATTGTTAATATCTTCCAAGTAAGAAGAATCATAAAACCGATAATTACAGTACTAATTATTAATCCCACAGCAACACCTACAATAATTCACTCGATATGATACGTAGTATCATTAATTTATTATGATTGCACTTACCAAGAACGTTAATAGGTACAGGACATGACTTCTCTCTTTCAGCTAGGATCTTGAATATCTTAATATCTCCTCCAGTACCGTCTCTGTAATATTCGTATTTGAACACAAACGTGCATCCACCATCCCCAGGAGTTCGACAAATACGAGCTCCGTTTCCTTGATCTTTTCCTGAATCTTCTACGATCTTATCTACCTGTTCAATTGAAAATTGCATAAAAAGAAAAATTACTAACTAATATTTCTAGAGAAGATTGTCTCACAATATCTATTTGATGCATGCATTCGTCACATTTTTCACTTCTAGCAAGAGGACCGGATTTGTGCACCACACATTCGACGCAATTCTTCAATTGCTCGCATCGTTGATCAGGACATATCTAAGAAACGCAAAAACAACTTTTATCTCTTTAATAAATACCTAGATATATTCGTATATCGGATAAAAGACTTACGGGACACTCTTCGCAATACTGCCCGGAATATCGAATATTGTCTTTTTCATGACAATAACAGCTACCGCAAATGCAATCGCCATGTCCGCTACAAATCTCCATAGTTTCGCTGTTGCTCGAGATGCATGTGCTATTCGTTTCTTTGCAATCGCACATCTCGCCACCCCATCCCGGGAAGCAATTGCAAGTACCACATTCACACTTCCCTCGCCCGCCGCAAACCTTAAACGCGCAACAACAACAGTCAGATGGAATAATACACACGTAAACACGTGTAATTTATCTATCGCCCGTTTCGAAAGGTGCAGGTTTCCTTAAAAGGGAAATTACTCGAGCAATTTCGCCATACGAATAAACGATTCCGAAGTAAGTTTACGATCCACGAACTGTACGTTTCGTCCGTAACTGATAACAAGAGGTAAGAATACCTGTACTGCGCTATAGAGAAATCGTTTAACTGTCATTCTCCTCGTGCTTTAAAATATCTTTCGATAACTATTCGCGATCGAGTATACATCCCACGTCGTAGAAAAACCATCCTTTTCTTCCTGAAGTGAGTAATTGAGGCAAATATTCACTTACTAATCCCTCTTTGCGTTTGCAAGAGAAATTATCGCATTCGCAATATTTCCCGTAGAAAACTTCTTGCGGATTTGGACGTTTCACGCACTCGCATACACCGCACTTGCAAACTCCATGATCGCTACAAATTTCAGTGGTCTCGTTGTTAGGCTTGCAATCAGCCATAGCAGCTGCACTCTCCGCTCTGCCATCGTTTCCTTCGCATTCGCACTGCTTCCCATAAAAGCCATCATCGCAAGAGCATATACCGCAAACCAGAGTACCGTTCCCTCTGCAATTTTCCGAAGCTGGCGTGTATCCCTACATTTTCATTCGAAAACGTGCGAAAAAGAGAAACGTTTAAATAACGTATACGCACACTATGTGAACGTAACTATTTCAATGAGAAGATTCAATTATAATCGCCTTTACCGGATGTCCTGGCCGTTCGCAAGGACAATCGCATGCAACGCTCAGATTGATCGTCAGACTTTCGTTTATACCCCTGGGTTTAATGTGCATACTTGTCTGCCATTCGTTGGAATCCTTTGGACATTCGATCGCCTGCAGTCGAGAAAAAATTAATAATTCTCAAATAAACGAAACGATACGATTCATACAACGCAACGTTCGATGAATTTGCCGATTTATTTGCAAATTACCTGTAACGTTACTTCAAATTCCACCATATTCCCCACTCGTAATCCTCCGCATTCTTGTCGTTCTTTTAATTCACCATTTTTATCCAAACATCGTGAGAAATATTTCACATCGATCATTTTTGGCGCGTCGTCCGTCATTATTATGGTGTTCACCAATTTCTGAACAAATTGTTAACATTTCTTTTATATGTATACGATAATAATATCCGGAAATTGATCGAAAGAAATACCTCGTATTCTCCACTGACAAGAGCAACTACATTTTTAGAATTCCTTTCTATCGTTCCGATAGAAGAGCCTCTGATACTTTTACTCAATAATTGATACGTCTCGTTTCGATTGCTCGTAACCGCAAATATGATGTTCATGTTGTTCTCACGAGCTACTTTGTTGATCTTAATCGACATTAAAATGTAATCATTAATTTAATATTTCAATTTTTGGGAAAGAAAGATTTGCATACCTGAGATATAGATGGATAATCTTGAAGAAGCGAGTACGTGTAGAATCCTTCTGAGTCCAAATGGCAGAGACAATCATTGGGCTCGATGATTCCCGCAAGCTGAAACGCAATCGCGTTTTTATTTTTAAAGAATAAATTAAATTGAAACAATCTTTGTTTCAATTATATCTACATACTCTGCCATCTCCAGCGATGTGAAAATTAGCGTCTGTTGAGAAAACGATAAAATGCCGAGCATTCTGCCGCCAGCCAATTTCCTTGGTGCAAACCATCGCTTGCATCATCGCGTCAAGTCCACCCTCGGGTGAATCCAAATTACCAGACACCGGAGCTTCTTGTACGCGCGTCTGAAAATTAATTAATCAGCATCAAGAGATTAAAGGTTAATTATTAAAATAAAAAAAAAAAAAAGAAATGACAGAATTACTTTAAAAAGAGCAATGTTTTCGGTAAGAGGCATCTGATTCTTGTATCCATATGGTGGTGCGCATGGTTTCTTAGTTTTATCTAAGTTACATGGTGATCTCAATCTGGAAGGGAAAATGATATGATGGATGATAAAATCGTAGCGATATTGATGGAACGTTGAACGTTAAAATACTTCAAGATACTTGTCCGGTTGCGTACTGGTCATAGGTAGTACAACTTTATCCACGAAACTACCAAATCCTAGGCGAAAATTTGAAGTCAAGTTTCGCATAGCTTCGGCCAATTGAAATCCCAATTTTGATAATTGATCCCTGTAATCTTCCATGGACTTTGATAAATCCATCAGATAATACAAATCGACCGGATAATCCTCTGCTTGACTGTATTTTAAAGTCAATCGATATTCCTCGCCTATAAATAATCAAATAGAATTATATATTTTCATCAAAGAGATACAATTTTATTTAATCTCGATTATAGATATACCTCGCCTGAGTCTCAAATCAATTTTTTGAGGTTGAATTTGAACAGGATCCGTGCCTTTCGTTGAGGACAGTGGACGATTTTCGAGAATCAACATCTTATTCGTCTCAATTACCACGTCCGACGTTCGACACCAATGATCACCTTCGTTTGAAAATTTTTCTCTGGTGATACAGCGAACCAGTGGATTGTTCACACTTTGATTAGAGACCTAAAAAAACAAATCTATTATTATTTATAACAAAGTGAAATATTTTTTTTCATAAACAATTGTAATAACGATAATTATGAACCGGAGTAGAACACCAAACACATCGCGGGGTTTGCAAGCAATTTTTGCAAGATTGTTGAGATGCACAAAGGATTTCTGAATCTTTATATTCGCAAAATATAAATGAAAAAAGTTGAACACAAAAAAAAAATATCGTCCAGATGGTCATTGTTTTAAATATTAATTTCGTTTTAAACAAAGCGAAATGTGGCTGGCCACTTTAAAGGATATAGTGGTATTCCACGGAAATATACCACAGATAAAAAGTGTGCGTCATTAGGTAACTATTTTCTCTGACGATTATATTTTAATCAGAAAGTGAACGTTAAACAAAGAAATTAAAGGGATCGGAATTTATTATAAATTAATACGATTTATTTAGATGAACATTTTAATAAATTATTACGCGCACATTATAAAAATATTATTATAATATACTTAAATATTTAATTTATTAAGTTAAAATATAATATAGAGTGACATCTCTTAGCTAATAAAAAAAGTTTTATTTATCTAGTACCACGTATGATAAGTACGTACAACTTCTATACCATGTTCTGGAAATGTAGGTATTTTCAGACATAAGTTGAAGTATAGAAGTATATTCAAACGTTGAAAGATGGCGCAACAGGAATGAATCAATATGTAAAAATTAGAAATGTAAAATCGACAGTGGTGAGGAAACAACTTGAGACGAAGGATTGTGTACCTTCAGTGATCGTCTCTTTCATCGGCAAGTTTCGCTCACGACGGTATGTGTCTTAATGCGAAATGTAATTTTATTTTAAATTAATTATAATTTTAAAATTTTTCTTTCATTATGCATAGGAGTATTATTGTTGATTACGTAAGAGGACAGTCAAGAAAATTATTTTATTTATTTCATTAATTTTTAACTAACACAACTAATGGACTTCATCCGTTAAAAGTTTGATTAACAAAATATTGTATCAAGTTTTTAAAATTAATCAAAGAAGTTAATTAAAAAGATGTCAGAATAAAAAATTTATTAGTCTATGTCTACCTTAATGATGTTCTAGTGTGTTCTTCGTGTGAATTTTGTAGGTTAATCATGTCGCACATAATATTTCCCTGAATAATACAGAAATAATTAATTAAATTTATTTTATTATGAACTTCGTTCGAATAAAAATTAAATTTCAACAATAAATTTCATAGTATGAGATATATTTCTTTATTTCATATATTATATCGGCATATATAAAAACCTGTACAAATGGAATGATAAATGTGCCGCAAACGTGGTTTTAAAGAAAAACCATATTATGATATATTCGAACTAGTAGTATATCATTCGTATTTAAATATTTTTCTTATACCTGTAGAATTTATTCTTTGAACTTTTTTAACAGAAATTTATAAAACTAAAAATAAAAATGTTACAATAAAATTGAGTGTTTATATTTTAAATAATTTAATCTTTTTTTATTTTATGTGACACACAAATAATATTAAACCGAAAAAAGATATATTTTATTATACTATCTATTAATGGCTGAAAATATCCTATATGATTACATAAAGATACTAAAATATAGAATAACATTTTATAATTTTAAACGGCGCCAAGCCTAGTTAATCTAATGATATGCGTTAAATTGTTTGATGTAATATAATACTAACTTTACTTACAAAATGATTTTTGTTTATATATTTAATAGTCACTGCGTTAATGATGTGCGACATCAGTCGCACTTTTTGGTAACCTCAATGAAATGTCATTGCAAATCAAATAAGAGCAAAAATAAACGGATTCACGTAAATCTTTATTATATTAAGGAGATTACAACATTTCATATATTATCTTTTAATTCGCATTAATTTTTGAATTAAACAAAGGTATGCATTCGTCATTTTTTATCACCATAATTTTTATGTCATTTATTATGCCATTATTTTTCATGTATTTTTAATTTAAAAAATTAAAATAAATTAATGTATAATTAATAGTGAAAAAATTTAAAAAATAATAAAATAATTTTATAAATAAGACACTAATCATTTTTTAAGAAAATTTAAATATTAATATATAGATATACTGTTTAGAACAAATATACTATTCAAATTTTTTAAGATAATCATCATTTTTGGATGTAATCCAATTCTACACATGTTTCATTTGTGAATTCCATATCTGTTTCTTATATAACAAATATATATCTGATTAATATAATCTATATTTTTTCTAGAATACGAAGCAAAGCCTTGGTGTAGAGATGTATCTGACTCCTGCCACTCTCTATGCTCTCAGATTATCATTGCAACAGGTAAAAAAACATATTTAATTGTTACAAAATGATAAAGATTATATAATGACATATGCTTTGATATTTTCTTAAGTTAGAAATATTATAATTTAATTCGTTTGAATTTTAATCTTATATGAAAAACAAATTAATATATTTTTTATTACAGGGGACCGTTTCGTCTGTATTTCGTAGGAATATGGTCGAACGTAATATGACCAAATCAGCGTATATCCTTGCAACTGTTGGCTTATCTATGAGTATATTTTCTGTGAGAAAAATGTTAACCTCTAAACACGGACGTCATTTGTAACAATTTTTTGTTAAAATCAGCAGCAACAAATACAGTTCTAAAAAGAAAAGGAACGAAAAGAGAATAGATAAAAAAGAAAGAAGAAAAAAAATATTAGGATTCAACATATCCGAATCATTATTGGCAACGGAAATTTTTCATCGAATTTTAGCATCTTATTCACGCCGAAATGTATACTTATTTTATATTGGAAATCAGTTGTCTTGTATTATTGAACTAATCTTTTATAATCGATCTATTATCGTCTTCTAAATATTAAACATTTCCTAATGTAGCATATTAATTATAGAAAACTTATATGCGATTTCGCATTTTAATACGTACTTCAAAGCTTTAAAAAAAGAGTTAAAGTACTAGAAAATAGAAAAAAATTGTATTAAGCGTGCAATAATATAATTTCGCTTAAGCGATAAATCGGCAATTGTTTTATATTTTGAAGCTTTTTATTTATTTGATCAATGTCTCATATTTCGCATATTTCACAAAAAATATATATATATACATATATATATAAATGCGATTTTGGACGGTAATTTGTAAGAATTCGATTTAAAAATGTTATTTTCTAAAATGCAAAACCAATTTTTTGTCAAGAGAATCTTACTGCAATTGTTGCTGTTATTAAGTCATGAATACTAATAATCAAGTTATATAAACGCAACATTGTATACGTGTATAGATTGTATTCATTATATCGTAGTCAAATGATACAAAATTTTTGCTACACAAAGTTGAGTCTTTATTAGAAAATTTGTTTTTTTTATCTCCTAGTCCCATTAATATTATGTTCCTATAATTGTAGTAAAATTTGTGATATTTGTAGACATGTAAAAATATTGAATGAAATTATTAAAATACATATTTGTGATACATTAAATTTTTAGCATTGTTAGGAATAGTTTTTCCGTAATTATGAAATAATAAAAAGCGATAAAATCATGTTTATTAGACTTATAACGTATATATTTATTTATAATTATTTTACAGTCTCACACTCTATATTTCTTGACGCAATCTCATTCATACATTCCTACGTTCGTTCTTCCAACTTCTTACTTTTAACTCGTATTCTCAAAAATCATCTCATCCACACCAGGGAAACATCGACCGATTTATAATTGTCAAATACATATATCGTACGTAAAAGAATTTCACGTCGTCTTAATATGTAAAAAAATATTTGTTTTGTAGAAATTATTCTTTAGTCGATCCTTCCCTTTGTGTGCATGCAGAGCTATTAGCACACAAAATATATAAGTAGCTATAGAATTAAAAATACATAATCGTCGGACCGCTCGATTTTTCGGCAGGTCAAGACATTAAACATACAAAATGAAAAAACATAACAATATAGTACGATTATAACAATAATAACAATTATGAATTTTCAAGAAAGAAAGCACGACAGCGCTGATAATTTAATAATTCGTGCACGATTGAATCACAACTACTGTAAACTAATCGACTCATTCTTGTATTTACAGAAAAAACTTTGGCAATTGCTACACTTAATATACTTTGGCGGCGAATTAAAAACGCGTTTCTTAATGGTCTGTCTCTTCTTTCACCTTATAGACATATTTTGATCTTATGCTAACATAAAATGAACGAGTAGGAATCCGAGGACAACGAAGAAAAATGAGGACGAGTTCTTCGATTCCCCTAGTTAAATATTTCCTTAATTAATACGCTAATGGCAGTCTGGCAGAGAGGCAAGTGGTTGTTAAATATTATATCAATGATTAGAAATTTTAATTTTTTCTTATGCGAGACAGTACCAATTACTATGAATTCTGAGAGGTATGAATCTTATATCTTTGTAATTAACAGCTATTTTCTTTTTCACCTCTTTCTTACTACTATTCGATTACTCGAGCTGCCCGACGATATTGTGTTCGACTTTCACGAAGTGTATTTAATACTCGGTTCTTTGCATTTGAAAATATATTAATTTTAAATAACTTTTTACGATATTATCAATCTTTCCTCATGAATTAAATATTAGATGTATGCTGATTAAAAATAAAAAAAAATATCCTCGTAAAAGACGAACATATTCGTGCCATTAGGCTATGTAATAAAACACTATCTAATCAATATAATATGATTTGAAATCTTGCGTCTTTTAGACTATTTTTTCCATAGCTACTGCCCAAGCTTGTCCTCTCTTCGATATTCTTCTAGAATTGGTAGTGCAACATACAGTTGGAACATTATTCATTCGTCAAAAATTTGTAATTGGTAAGTTCACGAATCATCGTTGTCACTGTCATGTCTCTTGATCTTACGATGTAAAAAAAGGTAAGTCTGTAAACAGTAAAAAGAAAAAAAATTAGAATAGATAGAATAATAAAAAATTATCAGCTGCACAATACGAACAAAAAACGTTGAACGAATCATGATAAATTTTACCTATATAAATAGATAAATCACTCATCTTTACAATATAAATAGTTAAATAGTTAATTTTTTTCATTAAAACGATTAAGATATTATTAAAAAAATAAATTTCGCATTTACAATTATTCACGACGACGTTTTCTTACTTAAATATTAATTAAAACATTCGCTTTTTTTTTACTTGATATAATTTATATAGATCTATTTATAAATTAATAAATTAATCAAATATTCGCTATTTAAAAATTTAATTAAAACCAACATAAGATAATCGATATTGAGGCAAAAAATTGTAAAGAGAACCAATTCTTCATAACGTTTCACGTTCTTAATACAAATTGAATTTCGCATTTTATGCGTACAATTGGCCCCCATCATACGTAAAGACTCCATA